AAGCAGGACAGAGTAACGTCAGAGGCAAAGCCACAAACCACATACATATACAGTATTGCGGCCACTAAACTCAATACTCGCACTGATTTGTGATGGCGGCGCTCGCTTGACTGGTTTTTTGCGTGGCGTGATACACAGAACTCACTCACTGGAACACGCCCGGGTATAGTCTCTCGTTTAACTTGATTTATGTGAGGGATCTTATACTTCACGTCAACTGGTTCCTTATGAAGATATTACAAGGTTTGACTACAGCAGATACGCAAGGAAGAAAGTACAATTGCGGACAAAATTATATGAACACTTTTGGGGGGTTACTGTATATGCTGTACTGTAGTATGATTGGTTTATATATTGCTGCTGCTGTTTATCGCATATTATGTCAGAACCACAAAATAGGGAATAAAAACTCCTTAATACAAAGAAAAACCTGAGAAAAAAAACGCTTAAAATTAAAACATCCTTCACCTAATGATCATCCAGTACTTAAACAAATTAGATACTCCTAAGTGTCTAAGGAATTTTGTCTGCAACTGTACATAGTGAAGGAGAGGGAAGTGTTAATTATTATACGATGATTACGATACTATATTGGGTAAGACAACTGAGAATAGTGTATTGATGATAAACAATGTGAGAAGTATAGAGGATAGTTCAGAAATTAGCACAGGAATAATTATTAGTGATAAGATCAATATAATGGAAGGCGCTGCAAGACAACCATAACGTGTTAAAGGTGTTTTAACATACAACCCCCCCAATGAGCCAACCCAAGCCAAGGTGCCATAACATACGATGCTCATTTATTTTTATGTATAACAGATGTAAAAGTGCTGGAGGCTAAATCGTGCTCTGTTATAACTAGAAACAATATATTTACAAGAGAACGAAACCTTAAATACTAAATTAAAATAAGTATGAGAGGGTAAACAGGTAGATGATTATATTGATTAAGGACAATTGATAAAAGTATGAACACCTGTAGGGACAATGGGTATATACACTAGTGAACAGGTTAAGTACACTACAGCCTCTGAGATACAGTATATGCTCTCGTTCGTGTGGCCATAGACTCATGGATTAGCCCCGTCACCTATGAATTAGTTTAGTTTCAAATATGGAAAATTTTACCTGCAATCTTAAACGCCTCCGGATACGCACTGAAAGAGGCTTCTTCTATAATATTACCTTGATTGGATCTTTTCCCCTAAATTACATACCGAGGCGATATAAAGGTAAGAGACGGCAATACAGTCGTGCAAAAAAAAAAAAATGTTTTGGATGGAGAAATTTGTGGTAGGAATTCGTTAGCTGTTAGATATATAAAATAATATTTCCAAAGTATTAAAATATCAAATGAATAAGTAAATAATAAAGAGAAGATTAGGTGGATCACTTTCCTATATAACTACGTAAAATGCAGCAAGAACCTCTGATGGCAGCAATATATACAATACCTATAAATATACTATATGTATATGTATAGATGTAAAGATAAAGGAAAAAAAAAAACCCTAGGTTACATTAAGGTGTGGTAGGAAGTTGTATACAAGAGGTCAAGACCCAAGCACATGATAACACAATACGAGTCAACACAAGACCTGCTGCCTGTGGTTGACTGTATAGTGTGTGTGTGTGTGTGTGGTGTGAGAGGGGAGGATGGGGGAGGGGGAGGGGGGATGGAGGAGGAGGGATGGGGAGGAGAGGGATAGGGAGGAGGGATAGGGGTGGAGAGGGATAGGGAGGAGGGGGAGGGGGGAGGGGAGGGAAGAGGAGGAGGAGGGGGACAATTAGGGGCGAGCACGCACAAAAGCAAGGTGGTGGCGTTTGTTTGTTCCCGACGACACAATGCAAAACGTGTGTTGAGTATGGACACAGGAAGGAGAGGGTGGAGAACCGTCAATATTGAAGTGGTATTTTTTAGCGACACAAAAGAAGTAGAGAGGTTGAATATCACAAGAGGATGATGAAGGCAAACATAAAGCAGAAATGATGATGAATGTATAATGAAAATGGTGAATGAGGATGGATTATGTAGTAAATTACATAAACTATACAAGCATCTTTAAGACTCTGAGACTAAGAATGACAACTAGATTTCAGAAACATTATGTATGAGATTTTTAACATTGCTGGTAAAGTGTGTGTGTGTGTGTGTGTGTGTGTGTGTGTGTGTGTGTGTGTGTGTGTGTGTGTGTGTGATTCTGAGACACCGCAGTAACACCACTATCAAGTTAATTTACATAATACCTGAGGTGATTAAGGGCGGAGCAGGTGTAAGGGTAGAAAAGGGTGTTTTTATAATGTGTTTCTCCATGTACTTTTGCAAGGCTCAGAGAAAAATTGGGTTACCGGAACAAACTCAAGATTCTGAATATTGTAAAGATGAATAACCAAAACAATGAAACAATAACGAGCATAAGACAATTCAACACAAGAAACAGCCAGTATGATAACAAGAATTTAACATAAAGTGAATTAGCCAGATTAATAAACAGTTAATTACTTTATGCTGTCCTTAATGATGAAATGTCTATGTGTGGCGCCACTATCAATAGCTGAATCTAAACTGAAAAATAAGAGTGATGTCCAATTTATATTTCATTCTTTTCCGAGGAAGTGAATTACTGTATCTCTTTTATCCTCACTGAGTAGAAAAAAAGAGAAACTGAACACATCCCAATATTATGATGCAAATTGTCACTCTTTGGGGCAGGCAACAACACAAGCACACCACAAACACAGCTTTAACGTTGCTAACTAAGACGAACTTTCACCAAATCTGCAAGAACCCGGCCAGTGTCATAGTCATCTGCCTGTTCACTCACTCACTCACATCTACGTCAGGGCTTTAGCAACATCACCTTCTCCTTTAACTCACCCATCGGCATATCTACACGCAAGACTCCAACGCAGCTACTAAAATGGATTCCCTGTTCTTTGCAGCTTCTAAAAATACGTGTGTTGCCATTTCGGTCAATAAAACACTACTTGATCTGTTTGTCCGATTGCAAAATGTAGTCACCATGGTAAGTGGAGCAGCCACTAATGTTGAACCTTGTTTAGAGTGGTCGAGCAAGTGTACAAGAGATCTGCATATCCCCGCTATAAAGCCTGGCACTGTTCACAAAGGTTTGTTTAGCTTATTATATCACAGCGCTGTGGTATGCAATAACATAACCTGACCTTTATTTGTACTCCACCGTAAGACACGAGCGGCCCAACAATCCCTGAATCGATTATCAGCTAAATATCGAGAGAGATAATTGGTGATTTTTCACATTTTACGAGGAGCCTGGAGGACCGAGGCAAAAAGTAGACTTAAGAACTACTTCCCTTCAAATGGTGATGAGGTGGACTGGGGTTCAAGAAGGTCAACAGTATGGTATGAAGGTGAAATAAAGACTGGGAGGGGGGACGTACGCTTCCTACAGTGACCCAAAAAGTCGTCAGTAAAATATAAACAACACAATGTACCTGACTTACCTAACTAGAAAACTTCAGACAGGTTAAAAAAAAAATTAGTCACCTTGAGGATTAAATTAATTCCAAGTAACTACGATGAAGTATGTACAGAAATATCCCTGTATTGGATTCGTTTAGCAATAACCAAACTCCACTTCAGAGAGTTAAATCCACACCAAACTAAAGAGGACATACGAGAACATATAGTAAACATTGATCTAATTAAACCACATGAAACTCAACTATACTAAATTACCTCCCAGTCTTAACCAACGGAACCCAATGAACTTGACCTTTCCTCCCAAGAACACAAAAAGCAGTAAAGCTCAAGTCCTGGTCCAATTGTCTATACATATAAAGGAGATTATTGAGTTATGGTGCCAACAGGGAGACACTAATGTAACGATGTTCTCAGACGACGGCACAGCGTAGATCAGATCAAACAAAAACACAGGGATTATTTCTCTTCGCTTTATCTAACGTGATGGAGTAAGTCATAGCGAATGAAGCACTAGAGTCAACACGAAAATAATTATTAATGATTCTTTTTTTATTTCTAAGTTAAATGATCCTGGTTCTTTTAAGCTTTATGAGACCACAGCTTAAGTTTAGATAGCTTAATTTTTGCTGACTGTGAGAGAGTATTAAAATCTTCTTAACAGTGAGACAAAGTAATAAGAATATTATTATTTATTTACTGTAAGACCGAGTGCTTATAGATCTTCTTAAATGACAAACAGCATCATTACCTAACTGTTGTTTACTCAGCGCCGGACGGGCAGTACTTGACCCTGACCTACAGAGATTCCTACGTTAACCCGTTTTTCTCCTGACTGGGAATCAAGGGAGGTATTGAGTTAGATTATAGATTTAGATTGTCCTCGAGGGGGCTAGTCTATTGGGCACCCCCCCCCCTACATCCTGTGCAAGGTGAAGCACAGAAGCGTTTACAGCGCCCATCTGGAAAGCATGCGGAGTTCATGCTTGCCTTTATGACTCATGCATTAAGGGCGTGAAAGCCTGAAGGGTCATGGGTTTTGTCAGCAAGTTACATAAAGTGACAGAATGATGAGCGTGTGTGTGGGGGGGGGGAGGGGGGAAATTCCCGGTATACTTTATCTGTTTATGTCAAAGCGTGGCAGGTCCCTAATAATGCTAAGTGCCAAAGTATTGAGTTACTGTCGAGTCTCAGTGCAATTTCGACGCTCTTTTGACCCCCATCTTGTGCGTCATCATCAAAGTGAGGCCATGAGAAAAAAAAAATAACGTATGATCCTCTGAGAATCCGGGTCTTGAAACTGAGATAATCCCTCAGTGAGCCTTGCCAGCGGTGAGTGAGTTCGTGGTATTGTTGTCACAGGATCACAGAGGCTGGTCCACCCCTCATAACGCACCGCCCCTCACGAACTCTAAAACCCAACGAGTCATTCTAGTCCTTCCTTCACCACGCACCGCCCCTCACGAACTCTATAACCCAACGAGTCATTCTAGTCCTTCCTTCACCACGCACCGCCCCTCACGAACTCACAAACGAGTCATTCTTTATCACAGCGCTGTGTCTCAATACAGGTGAATAGTAAACCCTGTGAAGATACAGATATGTTGACAAAGAGAACACAAACACACCTGCAGTATGTAATCGATTTAATTATATTTATTCGTATACAGTGACTCAGGTAACTCAGGTATATGTTTCGATGTGTTAAGTACTAAATATCTATTCTCTTGTGGGTCGTATATTATGGTATTATATCTTTAGCATGGAAGTGAAAGGTAAGTACAAGCACACCTGGATGACGATATTTTCAATGCCAAGTGTACCTGAGAAACGAGAATAAACAGTCATAGATAATTACTCATAAGGGAGGGATATGCGGTTTTTTTTTCTGTTCATAAATTCACCAGCTCAACCCTGCCACTCAACATGGACCAAGACGGCAAAAACTACACAAATAATGGACTTCTCCCGACCATGTATATATACCACCTCCTCTTCCCTCCCCTCACTACCCTTCTCCTTCACCACCACCACCCCTCCCCTCTACCACCACCCCTCCCCTCTACCACCACCCCCACCACCCTCCACCCTCCACCTCTAGCCTCAATTCGGGTTCTCAAAAAAGATTCTTACTTTATGTAATATAGATTAAGGGAAAAAATTAAGTTAGTTGACACATTTCCAGTCAGGGGGAAAAGATCAAACGCATAAACGGGGTATATACACTATATTTTTCCCCTTGGTGTGGCACAGTGTCATTTCTGGATGGAGTGTCAAGGTGTCAGGTATATTATGACACTGACTTGTTCTGTAGTAAGAGTTAACAGATAGCAGATGAACGTGTGTCTGAATGTTACTCCCATCATCATTATAACTGGACCCTGGGATGTTTTATTTCTTTCGTTTACATTTTCATAATTTTATTTTATTTTCTCTACATCGAAAGAAAATAAATGTCGTGATCACCTATCTCCTGTTGCCCCGTTATTTACCACCTATCTCCTGTTGCCCCGTTATTTACCACCAATCTCCCGTTACCCCGTTACCTACCACCTATCTCCTGTTGCCCCGTTATTTACCACCTACCTCCCGTTACCCCGTTACCTACCACCTAACACCTGTACCTTAACCTGCCATCACCTCCTCCCCAGCCGCCACCAGTTCCATCCAATATTGAGGAGTGAGTCTTTTATGTTCACACGTAACTTGGACACTTCCTCTCTACCCTTCCTCCCTATCCCTACCCTTCCTCCCTATCCCTACCCTTCCTCCTTATCCCTACCCTACCCTCCCCTCCCTACCCTTCCCACCCTCTCCTACCCTTTCCTCCTTTTGACAAGCCATGACAGCACCAGATAATCCCTTGGTGTCATGTCACCCAAGGACCGATGACTGTCATGCGAGATCACTGAGCCATGAACCAATGTGACCACAATCATCATCCAGTCGACTCGAGAACTCACGGGACACCGCTTCTCCTATCGTGTTGTGACGCAGATGAGGGTCACGACGAGGTTGGGATTTTATTTATTTTTTTGTATCTTATTTTTTTTTTCTTTTATCGGGGGAGGAGACGAGGGCGGCCTGAGTGAGGTATTATGAAAGGGGAGGAAGGTTAGGCGGGGCGGAATAAATCTCTCTCTCTCTCTCTCTCTCTCTCTCTCTCTCTCTCTCTCTCTCTCTCTCTCTCTAGGATGAAACTGCCCAGGGATTTATGGTTTACACCCCAACATGGCATCACTGGGTGGGACCTTCACTCCAACATGGCATCACTGGGTGGGACCTTCACTCCAACATGACATCACTGGGTGGGACCTTCACTCCAACATGACATCACTGGGTGGGACCTTCACTCCAGCATGGCATCACCGGGTGGGACCTTCCTCCAGCATGACATCACTGGGTGGGACCTTCCACTCAACATGACATCACTGGGTGGGACCTTCACTCCAGCATGACATCACTGGGTGGGACCTTCACTCCAACATGACATCACTGGGTGGGACCTTCACTCCAGCATGACATCACTGGGTGGGACCTGACAAGACATGTTTGGTGAGTGTATCGAAGGTGTTCAGTAACTCAGAAAAGGAACAAGGAGGTGGAGAATATAATGGTGTTGGACACAAACTCACACCTCGATAACAAATGCAGGTACAATAAATGGGTAAAAGTATATAGACAATTCGACACGTACGTAAACGCAATGAATTTACCAACCAACCAAAACCACACGCATGAATGCACTCACACACACACGTTCAAGTCACCCTAATACACACCCTAATACACACACGTTCAATTCCCCCAACACAACACAACACACACACACACACACACACACACACTTACCCCTATACTTATCTGCCGCATAATTCTTTCTCAAACCAAAAAACAACAACATCCAAGCCGTGGGTCTGACACTTTATATTCGTAACTAAATCTCGAAATCCGGCACAGGCTTTGGCTACGTCTTAGAGCTCTGATGTTGACAAAAAAGTGACGTGATGAAACCATGGAATTTTGTAGTGTGTGTGTGTGTGTGTGTGTGTGTGTGTGTGTGTGTGTGTGTGTGTGTGATTATTATTGTCACTGTTTAGCATCAGTATTTGACACAAATCTCATCTCATTCTTCCTTGATGTTTAAAGAACTAATATTATACTGTAGTGAAGATGAAGAAGAAATAGAAGTATAGTTCAAGCGGCGGTGAAACAGATAGTGTAGTATTGTATAAAATATTGTCTTTATTTTCGTGAAACTGATATTCGATTTCAGTTCACGTTCTCAGCAACATGAAATTCGTTATCCTGATCTGTAGTTCCACAATATTTATTACATGTGGACGATATACTTTTAAGACTATCGTGTATTGCACATATGTAAGAAAATCGCTACATTACGGGTCGTTATTTCGTTATGACTGCGAGTTACAAAGTTAGTAATTACACTATTCTAACAACATTTATAAAATTACTAAGAGATAAAACTCACGAATTTGGACTAGGTCGCCAGGATAGCGGACTTAGTTTGACTGCGGACGAGTTGCGGAGAAAGACCTGAAATCTAATATTAGTTAAACGTTCTGGGAGCCATTAATAGTATACATCTGGAAGTCCACTAACATGTCAAGAAAAACTGTTTAGGTTGAGCTACAGGATAGTACGAACTGCATTCTTTTGCTTGTCATAATTATTCTTATATTTACATTCAAATACGAAAAAATTAGGACGCCATATTATCTTAAAGTTTGCTAAATCGTTAAACCAGTGAGTGCGGATGGGTTTGTACTAGACCTCTGCTGATTGTTCATAGTCTAAAACATAAATAACTAAGTAATACATAAAAACAAAAAGTCACTGATATAGTATTGTAGGAACGTAAAACTTCAGAGCGTATACAGTCGATTAATGCAGCTTCCAGTGAATAAGGCGTAATTACTAAACTAAATTCTATAGATCCCAGAGGAGGTGCAGTGTCTGAGAGGTTTGGTAACAACCCAAAAAACGTTTCGACTAGAGGGCCGTGATCGCCAACCCTCAGATTTAAAGATTAGTACCATAATTAACACACCGATTATGTATATATAGACCTTTGTGTAATTATGTTCTTGAAAATATATGCTTCACTGATCAAAATCCTAAAATTAATGAGATTTCCATCCAGTGTGTTCAGAAGCATTACGTAATTAACCCCAGATAGCCTACTCAGTAAGCATGACTCTCCCTCAATATGGTGCAAGATATCTAAACAAGTATGCATACCAAGTTTCATTTAAACATACGACCAATCAGGAACAAGTAGCCTCATCAATATACATGATTCTCTCTCATCAGCTACGTCGCAAGATGTTTAAGGCAATTAAACAGGTACATTGATAAACTTCATTGAAATTCATAAAAAATTTTGGGCCGAATTATTATGTAAAAAGAAAACTTGGGCTAAAATTTTGTGCACAGCGTTCAAGTTGTCTAAAATAGTGACAAGTTTCAAGGTCACACACACACACACACACACACACACACACACACACACACACACACAGCCACAAACAAACACAACAACAAACAATACAAGGCACTAGGAATGATGAATGTGGGAACATGGGTCAACACACACACACACACACACACACACACACACACACACACGAGTGGTGGCATGAGCGGGAAGAAGTGTAAGTGTTGAGGTGTAGGCGGATGGGGCAGTGGGTGGAGGAGAGGAAGTGGAGGAAGGAAGGGTAAAGAAGGAGGATGAAGAGAGGAGAGGGAGGGTGAAGTGAGGAGGGAAGATGAAGGCTACTGGGTGAAGTAAGAAGAGAAAGGGTGAGGAGCCAAAAGGAAAGAGAGAATAAATATGAGGAGAGTGTCGAGAAAGAGAGAAGGGTGATGAGACTGAGAGGGGTGAAGAGAGTGAGAAAAGGGTGATGAAAGGGAGAGAAGAGTGGTGAGAGGAAGAGAAAAGTGATGAGAGATAAGGAGAGTGGTGAGGAGTAGTGTGGGTGTCAGCACTGCGTTGTCAGCTGAGGATCTTCACCACGCAGGAGTGTCGTGTTATTGCTTGTGCTTGTGTATACGTGTGGAGAGGGGAATGACTCAGCGATCAGTATGTTTATATATTCACACATGCAAATATATATTCCAGGTACTGTAGATAATATTGTCGAGGTATGCTGATGGTACAGGGAAGTGGGTCTCAATTGCGTAACATAAAATACAAAATAATGAAAAAAATAAGTTACATTGTCAGCGTTTTAATATCAAGGTCAGGGTACAGACAGAATACAGGTGATGTGTGTGTGAATAAATACGAAAGAATGATGAACAAAAATGAATTAAAAGGGATATCCAAAAATTAATATCCATATCAATAATTAAACTTTAAATCGCTGTACAGTAATGCTGGGTTTTTGTTATTAGTCTTAGTATGATAAATGAGATTAATGCAACAGTAAATAAAATACTTTTCAGTGGAACAAAAACAAATGGCTGATCGTTCATCACAGATAATTATAAGCGACGTCTACATCGTGTCTAGATGAAGCAATGTTTATGGAGCACTGCCGAGACCCAACACAGGAGGGTCACACACACACACACACACACACACACACACACACACACACACACACACGTACATCCTCCTGGTCATTGAAGATCGCGTCTAGTATGTCTCTTGGCTCAAACACCACCACAACCAATAACAACCAGTCAAACTAATTTAATTATTTCCTTTTAGTTTTATCACTGTTCAGGAACCAAATATCTCGTAGGGGGGAAATTATGATAAAACAACTGATTCTCTGTGAATTCTTAATATTGTGTGGATGATTTGTACTGTGTTAAGCATTATGTGTCTGTACAAAATTTATTATGACTAATTTATGGATGGCCTCTTCATGGTAACAAAAATAAAACATAAGATATCTCTGAAAAACAAAACACTACGTTAACTAAAGAGGTCACACCTACCTTGTACAGCCGCCTTTGTGAGTCTGAGGACATCCAGGTTGATCTTGATCGGTTGAGAAGTGACTTGGAAGGTCGCGTCCCTGTGACCTTTCCTGACCTCATCCTTGGTTTTAATCCTCAGAAAGAATATCTGAACATCTCCCACACGCACTCGACCACTACAGGTACCATGGTCTGTGACCCCGCCCACGCCTAAAGTATTATCTAAGGTCAATGACCCCTGTTGAGGGAGGTCAGAAATACCGTCAAGAGGATCCTCAAGCATCGTGGCTTCCTCTTCCGGCAATCCTTCAGTTAAAGTCCTCAGGTAGTCCTGGTACAGTACGTCCCCCTTCAGAAACTCCTTGGCCTGGATCCTGACCAGATCATAAACCTTGTTTCTGTTGTTACCGCTGCGTGATCCAAGATAGGTGACCTTGGCAGTGAGCACCAGGTCGGCCTGCTCGGCGGCCTGTTCCACGTAGCCCGGCCAACATGCCCCAGCAGTCCAGGCCACTAACAGTACCGCCAGCGTAACACTGGCCACGATCTGCCTCACCAACATGTTTGTGTCATAAGTTATCCGAAGACACTGTAAATCACTGAGTCACTCATTCAAATTGTTCATTTTCAAATTTACGCAACACACACAAAATAAAACAGAGGTTTTATGACACAACCCGTCACACACTGCATTGTTCTGGCCGTTTCAGAATTTTTAAACCAACTTTCACTCTAAACACACTTAAAACACCTGAGTTAGCCCACACCACCTTGTTCTATTTCACAGTCAGGCAGAGAGTTACACCAAAAAATCCGTCACTGTTTTCTCTGTCACTTTCCTGGTCCTTATGAGGTTAGTCCACTTTTTATTACCTGAAAAGTAAAAAACAAACATAAGTAACAGGAAACAATATAAAAAATACATAACTTTAGGCAACATTTTAGAGCGGGACAAATGGAAGTTCCCCAATGAAGACAAGGAGGAAGATGTAAAGTAAACAAAATTGAAAACAATATAGAATAATTTTGCTTTGACTTAACAGATCACCTAAACATCCGCCCCCAGATTATTTCACCTTAAGAATAACTATCATAACGCTAACCTAACCTAACCTAACCTAACCCCACCAGGTAGCGTTAGGTGAAATAGGGAGGCGAATTTTCAGGTGATTCAACTTACTAATAAACTTCAAAAACACATTCTAACACGTCAATAACAAGCAATACCCCAAATGTAGTTATAACCCTTAATCACTTATAACCTAATAACACCAGATGATAAATTATGTTGATCACTCATTAACCATCAACACGCCTTTCAACACAGTCAAGTTTCAATAACCCGGATCACTTAATTTCACTTAATGCTTCGTAACATAACATGTATATATATTGACAAAATTAATAAAAAAAAATTAAGTATGAAATGCACACAATTTAGTTTTAGTTATCCGAGATGATAATACAAGTGTGTTTACAACTGTCAAATTAACATGGTTCACTTTGCACGTCACACAACTCACTGTGATCTTACGTGTATACACATAAAAAAAAAATCACTTCAACGTCATTAACTTACAAGACGTTCATGGAAGTCAATATTGTGTGTCAGAGATAACGTCAAAAGTCTCTGTGAGTCGAGAGGCGAGAAGACTTATGGCAAGGAGCGACTATGTGCGTCAACCGAGGTGGTGTGGGGGCAGGACGCATACTGAGCTGATTCATAGGCCCTAGTGGCTGAAGCCTTCACCAACCAGCACGAGTTACCAGTGCTCGAGGGTACTGAAGCCTCGCCAACAAGCACTAAGGGGCGGTGGGTGAAATGCAAGCCTTCACCAACCAGCACGAGTTACCAGTGCTCGAGGGTACTGAAGCCTTCACCAACCAGCACCTAAGAGGCATTGGTGAAGTGCAAACCTTCTGCTTCCTTTGAGTTGCAGTGGCGAGGTACTGAAGCCTCATAACCAGCAGCACTAAGGGAACAGTTGGTCTAAGAATTTTAAAACTGCCAACCAGCACTAAGATTAAGTGATTGACAGTATAAACTGCAAAAACCCAGCACTAAGGGGCGGTGATTGGCAGTATAAAAAGCCTCACCAACCAGCACTAAAGGCGGTGATTGAGAGTACTGAAGCTTCACCAACCAGCACTAAGGGGCGGTGATTGAGAGTACTGAAGCCTCACCAATCAGCACTAAAGGGAGATGATTGAGAGTACTGAAGCCTCACCAACCAGCACTAAGGGGCGGTGATTGGCAATACTAAAGCCTCATTGACCAATAAATAACATGCACTAATTCAACAGTCAAGAAAAACGCCAGTGTACAAAATTGTCCTTATCAATTCGATTATAATTTATTGTCATATTAATATACAGTAAAAGGATCATTCACAAGTACCCACAACAACAGGATACCACAATGAAAACAATATATACTCTTGCACTATGTTTTCCTTTTAACTTTATAGGGTGAGTGCTTCAATATGGGGGGAAGTGTTGAAAATATGGCATAATTTTAACAAGCTTTTCGTTCCATAACTGTGTGTGTGTGTGTGTGTGAAGAATCTCGAATTAATATGTATCCTGCTGCATTATGATGTATACCAACACAAGATGCCCTCACAGTTCCAGAATATCTTAATTAAACTCTTAATATATATATACGACTGATTGGCCACCTATAAACTTGTCAACATGAGATAATTGACTTTAGAGCATTGTGAAGAAGGAGATTTCCCAACCTAACGTGATTAATATTAAGGAACTATCAGGGATTGTTTTCGCTTCGTCGTGGGGGAGAAAATATAAGGAAACAATAAACACGTATTAGGATAAAAGCTGTACTGTACTGACGACGGAGGGAAACACGCAGAAGTATAGTAATTAGACTGCAAGGGGACTGTCACCAGTGTTCATGCTGTTATGGGATTTGTGACGTCAATGCAAGCTAAAAATTAGTGGATAGAACACACACCCGTTAAGATATGGGGAAAAAATTAAACTAAAATAAAAATAAATTAAAACCTCCATCATAGTTAAAGATTGTTTGAGCCCGAGGCAAACCACAGAAATCATTTAGTCCTGTAGTCCCCGACAGTGCCGACACGTGTGTAAACAGACCATACCAACGTGCTTTGTATAATATTCTTAACATTATATTCGAGGGATTAGCCGCGTACTTTTTGTTTCTACGATGTTGTTATATTTTGGAATCTAATTAGTAAAACGAATAGTCAATAAATATATGGCAAAACAATATACAAATATTTTTAGTTTGCATTGACGTCACAACTCCCACAATCCTTTGCGTGGGTATAGACACATTGCATTATGGGAGTATGTGACGTCAATGCAAACTAAGAATTGTCACTAGTGTAAATTAGTATTCACTAGTATAGTTACGTGTTTGTTGTCTATGTATTTACTATATGACAGTACATTGCATGACTCGTATCATTAATAATGTTACATATAGTTCATGCTAGCAGTGGATGCGTTAGTCCTCACCTTTCCACGTGACAATGCCCTATGGGGAGTCATCCAGGAACACTTGGTGTCCCAGAGGCGATATAACACCAAAGATGAGCTTAAAGACGCTGTCAGGGAAGTCTTTCATCTCGTCACTCCTCAAATGCTCAGGAGAATATCACACAGAACCTGGCGCATTGTTATGAGTGACAGTGCACTAACAGAACCACTGGCTGTGTGAGCTTTGTAACATTATTAAAGGTATTGTACATGTAGTGTAACGGCATTATGTAATATCATGTAATATACTGTACATGTACAGTATGTAACAAGAATATAACTTTGTACTAGTTATAATCACACCAACTTTAACACTCACCTTACCAAATTACAGAGGTGTTAACTTGACTATGATAACTCGTATCGTAAGCCACCACAGTCTCCGCCCCTCCCCCACACCTAGACACAACGAGACAAACCTGAAGAATAATGTGGAAGTGAACCGGAGCCCCGCGTCCCTGTCAAGGCCGGGCACTTAACTAGCAGTTTGACGATAGCCTGGTGCTTGTTGACGTGTTGTTTTAAACATCAAGGGTATATTTACACTCTCCGGTATAAAAACATCGAGAAACATCTTTTAGAAGGATGATTTAAGAGAAGCAAGCTGTCATAAACAATCTAATATAGAAATATTATTCCATTCATTAATCAAGAGTGTAAAATCAGTTGCTCGATGCTCGTTGAGAATTTACCACTTGGCATCATGGAGAAAAGTACACAAGCGGGAAGCCGTTTATCATTATATTACGCAGTACACATAAATAAAAAAGATAAACATGTTACAACTTACGATGGTAGTGAAGTTGATTAAAAATATATCTAATAAGTCACGTTATCATACTGACATGTGTTAGTACTAATAGCCAGCAGCATTACCTCTGAAACATTCAACGATGTCTCAGAAAGTTGGACGTCACGTAACTTAGAACAGACCTGGCGTGTATAGGGTCTGTGAAATGAGCTGTTATTAGGTATCTGTTGTGATGAAGAATTGGTTACGAGACAAAACGGCCCATACCAGAACGGCCCCACCCTGTGACCAAAACGGCCCCACTCTAACCAAAACGGCCTAACTCTAACCTAACCTAAGCTAACCTAACCAAAACTGAGCATGATAGCAGTTATGTTGACATTCTGAGCTGCTATGATTGACTGGCGAACGGAAGCGGGTCAGAGTGAAACGCTGACTGTGTAACTAACCATAAGTGGCAACTGTCAAATGTAAACGATGTAAACATTGGACCAAACAACCAGTTTTCACTTCTGGTTAGTTACCCAGCCAACTCAGACTGTCCTTTTATTTTGCTATCGTACTCAGATTTTTGGTTGAGTTGGGATTACTGGGTTAGAAGTTAGGCCGTTTTTGGTCACTTTTTGGTGAGCCGCTTTGATTTAAGTGGGGAACCTTTTGGTTGGAGTAGAACCGCTTTAATCTGAAGTGAATACCGTTCTGGTTTAGGCCGTTTTTAACTGGTGTCGTTTTCTCCTGCTACCGAAGAATTAACCGCTCGATAATTATTACTATTATTATTGGTATTTCTGATAATCGAATTTATAATGTTATATATTCTATAACTTCGCTCAACAGTTTTTCTTCACTGTATCCTGTTAATGAAAGTGTTAGTGATTACAACTCTCCCAGACTAAAATTTAATCTTCCAAAATACACCGAAAATGAACAGCAAAATCGTACGAGGACACCGAGTTAAGAAAAAACATAATGGGCCTTTAAATCCAGGGATGTCCCAGTGTTTGGTCTGCTATACCAAGGGGCTTCCAATAAAATGTAACCATCAACAATAAACTTTACTACAAGAAGCTTTATTTAATGTATTGCCATCGTGAATCAATACATCACAAGTCTACTGAGAGTTCTTGTGGGTGTTTCGTTTTTTTTTCACATACCTAACAAGTTCTAATCTCTCTCTCTCTCTCTCTCTCTCTCTCTCTCTCTCTCTACAACAGACAGAGAATAACGCACATATATTAACCTGTAATTATGGATGGAAAGACGGCCTCACCACCTCACCTGTACACTGCCCCGTCAGTTTAGTCCAGGTGGGTCTTTATTTGGAGGGGCCTACGCGCTTCACCACGAGGGTCATCTTACCCTAGTAAACATCAGGTCAGGACTTGTCAACAGTACTGAAGATGACCAGCCATTATGTGGAGAGGGTGTGTGTGTGTGTGTGTGTGTGTGTGTGTGTAGTGTAGATTATTATTGGGAGTAAATAGAAGATAAATATAGGAATATCCTTCATACTCTCCTACCTCACTGTTCTTCCTGACCCCTTAAAAACCTGCGTCCCGGACATACAACATATCCAATCCAATCCCCCCCAACATCTTCCCTCTTAATTCCAAACAACGCTTCACTACCACCCTCTTAAACTTCTTTCCTTTAACGATGTAAGACGCTGTGTGCAGGAGAGTGGCTAGGTCAACACGGTATGTAGGAAGGTGGAAGGAAGGGTGAGCTGGGCGGGGAAGGTCCTGCTCATAGTGAAGGGCGGCACCCAATACTGCGCACCCCACCCCACCCCACCCCACCCCACCACCCAACCCGTTATCAAGACCTGTGGGGAAAATCTCGACCATCTAAGGACTAAAAAAAGAAAAACATTCCCCCTCAACCAGATTTTCGCTTAATTCAACACATTTTGTTTGTATTACCTACGAGCCCTTGTAGAGAATCTCTGTGTTGGGAAATAACAACAGTAGATAAGTTTACCCTGGCACCTGTGTGTGTGTGTGTGTGTGTGTGTGTGAAGCGGGATCAGGTGAGGCCAGCCCCCCATCCTGTCAGGTGTGGCAATATAAATGTCTAGTGCAAGAGGTCCCGCCATGCCTCACCTGCTGACACACACACACACACCTTCCCAGCTGCCTGAATGAAACTCCACACCACGACAGTCAAGTTTAGCTACAAGGAAGTTTGTGTGTGGGAGGGACAAGTGTGTCTTGGGTGAAGGTTTTACTTTTACCTAATAATTCATGTTTTTACCTGGTTGATGGCTCTCTCCTTTCTCTTTCTCTAAACACACACACACACACACACACACACACACACACACACACACACACACACACACTCGTATGTTGCTTTCTATTACATTAATAATCAGAACAGCTCTCAGAGTATTTGCATGTTTGCTTTACAGGCATTAGAATAAAAGTACTCGATAAGAATAACAACATCAAGAGCAGCAATCAATGCTTCCTTTCTTACATCTTAAACCACAAATATTTTTTTCTAACTTGGATTAAATGGTACGAGTCACAGTGCATCGCGGACACTAACTGAGACTATTGTATACTTAACGGGTTGATGTGACACCTTCCTAATATTGACCAATTCATTCTACGTTGATTATAATTTACTGAATCAACTTGTCCAGTATAATGAACACTTTCTAGGATGACTGGCATGGTAGACTTGATCAATGGCAATTTGTCTTGTCATGTACTAATTGTCACACGCCAGGCAATCTCTAACAGCCGGTTGGTTGGTGTGGATGAAGGAGGAGAAAGGTGAGAGGGTGAGGATACGTGGTGGACATATAGATAGTGTGTTATTCTGCAGGTGAGCCACTTCTGTTCCTCTACTCACCTGTAGCTCTGTCTCCGTCTAGTAACACCACAGCATCCCCTGCCCCTCCTCACTCACCTTCTTCTCTTACCATTTACCTAATCAATGTTATACCGTGTCTTCCTCCCTCACACTACTGCCACCCTCTTCATCTATAACCGAGTCCCCTCCTTCCCTCTTCTTCAACCTTACCTTCTTACCAAAACTTCTTATTTCCTACACGTTCCATCATCTTTTTTTACACGCAGCGCTTCCTTTCCCATCTCCCTGTCCCTCTCTCCTGTTCCATCGTGTGTCAGTTTTCCTACCCTATAGTCAACTAACTTACTAACTCATATCAGGACTAAAACCCAAGCCGTGTAGTGTAAATTATGTAGGGTCAGTATCCATCTATACTTGAGATACTTTATACACAAGACCAGGATTTTCACTTAACCATGACCTTTGACCTTTCCAATTGACCTATGACCTCCAAAAGCAAATTAAGTCATTTAGACATTCATGTGTATTAGTTGTTGACAATACCTTACACAAGATGCGGGAAGAAAGGACATATGAACACAAGACAAAACGAAAACATAAACGAATTGATGATAAAAAAAAATGAGCCCAATGTATCCTACTATAGGTTTAAATATTGTATTCTATCATATACCATCTCATATTTCCTTCCTGATGATGATGATGATGATGATGATGATGATGATGATTGATTGATTGTTTGATTGATTGATTGATTGATTGATTGATTGATTGTTTGATTGATTGATTGATGATGATGATGATGATGATAATGATTATACAAGTTTACCGAGGATCACACCTTGACACACCAAAAGACATCATCCTCACTCCAACACATCACACCTCGGGGACCAGAAGCGTAATGGAGATGTAGTACAGTATATATTAGATGGTTTTAACACTGATCATTCCCTCACTCCCTCCCTCTCAGTGTCCTTCCCAGCCCATTCCATTCCTTTGATCCTACGATTCCTCTACCGTTGTATCCTTCTATATACTACCAAACTAAAGAGGCTCCTTCTCTGAATATCCTATTTTTCCTTCACACTCATTAGACCATCACTCCAAGGCGGATCTCTCTCTCTCTCTCTCTCTCTCTCTCTCTCTCTCTCTCTCTCTCTCTCTCTCTCTCTCTCTCTCTCTCCTGTGGCCTAAGAAGTTCCTTAGTCAACACTGGACCGCCTCAACTTTTATCTAAACATCTCTAAGGCAAAGTTAGACGTGTTTTTCCTGTAGTTAAAACCTCACGCTCTTACACCATATGACTTATAAGAGTATTGTACAGTCAGGGACAAAAGTTCACTACCCGTGGTGAAACTGAGTCACGGGAATGAGTCTCCGAACTGACTTAACCCTGACTGTTTCATCTCATTTGGGGGGGGTCGATGTTGCTTCATTTTGGGCAGGATTGAATTTTTTACCCCGACTGTACATGATTCCAGCGTCCATCACTGAGAATCTGTCTTCCCTACACACTATTATCTCACAATGGTTATCCTTATCAACCCAACTTGGATAACAATAGTGTCTTTCTCCCTCAACAGCTGATTATAAATTATGCAGCATCTGTGGCTAAACATGATATCGTTTATAACAGTTACCCCACCAGAAAGCTTTATTGACACCATAATGTTTCTTGGTCATATTGCAACTAATGTCAGAAGCGATGGTAATATTATTAAACAGTTTATGAAAAAAATTACTACTATCGGCAATTGCTTAATTAGAAAATCAACTCTGTAGCAATATCAAACAGAAACACTAACGAAAATACAGTATTGCTGCTCTCTCTACAGT